GACGAGGAGGTGAGAGCTAGAATCGAAGGCCGTTCCGAGCTGTCATCAGACAATGACAGTAAACACGAAGATGAGTCCCCTGCAGTCAGGCTGACTTCGCAACAGGAGATTAACCGCATTGATGAAGTGAGCGAATACAGTCGACTCCCGATGATTCGAAGTCGCTTAATTGGAATTATCGGTTAATTGGAAGTGGAGTGGGGGTCCTGTCAGTTTTGCATGCAGTTCAACAGGAAGAAATTCTCGGTAAGTGGAAGCTACAGGTCTGAAATTTCGGTTAATTCGAATTTATTTTCAATCGAATTCCCGGAGGAAATCGTAATATTTGTTAAATTTCCTATTTTCGAAGTTCTAAACAACAATGCGTGTCCGACCGGCACCCAAGGGCATCGCAGTTGACCACAGCGCCGCAACTCAAAGCGTCAGCTCATGGCATCGCAGTTGCATGCAGCGCCCCAGATCACGAAGCGGCTGCTCCGGCGTTTCCGGTTCCGGGCCTCACTGTTGATCTCGTTACGGTCGTGTGCGGACTCAGCGTTTCCACGTGGGACGAAGCTCCACATGCATTTACTATGGCAACTCGCGGGCCTTTTGAGACTGTCGGACGCTGAGATCATGGAGATGGTTCGGCCCAGCGAGCCTAGTCACGAAACTGAGGTTGACGACGACGACGTCGCAAGTGAGCCACTACCGCGGGCTGCTGATGTAATTGCGGGCCTTGCCCTCGCGCAGCGGTTTTTCACTGCTGAGAGGAACGCCGAGGAAGCACTCGGGCACATATACAGCCTGCAGGACTTGCTTTCTGCTGCAAGATTCAGCAAACAGAAGCAAACGGCAATAACAGATTTTTTTTTTCATAAACTGCTTTGAAATAAATGTACTTTTTGTTCATTGTGGTTAATTGGAATTCCACTTCATTCGAAGTTTTTCGTAGTCCCCGTGAACTTTGTATTAACGAGAGTTGACTGTACTTCCAGCTGCAGCAAGACAACTGCAGTGTAGCAGCTGAATGAAATGCGGCACAAAGTGATAACAGCATCGCTCAAGGGTGTAACAGCATCGCTAATTTCTCTTCGAAGTGACTGTAAATAAAAGGTTTGTGGGTTCGATTAGATGTTCGTCACTCATTACAGTAACATTGTTAGGCATCACGACCTATGTTTTGAAAGCAAGACGTTCCGGTGCTATGAGCAGGTGAGTTCTGCTGTCCAATTGGAATATTAATGCGAAAGGTGCTTTGATGCTGCCCAGTTCAGAACTCTGAAATGAACTTGGGGCCGTCCGGCAATCCTTGGAATGGGGAGGGGGTCTGCGCTTCCGGCAATAGGCACGCCAGTTCAGCAGCTATGCCTTCCCCAGGGTTCGTACAGGTTCCTAAAGTGAAAATTCAAGGATATTCAAGAACATTCCATGAGCTGTCACAGTTTTTCAAAAACTCAAAACGGAACGCAAACTTGAAATTCTTTCACCCTAAAATTTTCAAAACTGACCAATTTTATTGTGCTCACATCAAATATATGGATACTAAAATTATAAAATATTTAGTCTTGGCTTCTCAGGAGCACAACACAGTTTACAAAAGTGGTTGAGAGTTTTCGAGTATAAAGGGTTTGCACCGAGCTTTGATCCGCAAGAGGGTAATACCATCACCATGCTATTTTGAAGGTGTATTCGTAAGTACTCCTTCGCTGCCCAGGCTTCGGCATGCAGGACGTGTTTCGAAGGTCTCTAGACATCCGTTGCCGTATGGATCTCTGATAAAGTACGAGCAGCCAGTTTTTTGGATGTGCAGGGGTGAGACGGCTCAGACTGAATTGGGAGCCATTTTTGGAGCAGCGAAATTCCAATTTTGGAGCAGACAAACCTTGCTTTGCAGCTGTTAGCGGCATTTAATTTCGTCCTAAGAGCTTGAAAAACAAAGTTTTAGCAATGTGAGAGCACAAGTGCATATTTTAAATTTTGTTTATATTAGACATAACACTGAAACAGACTTTGAAGAAAGTTTTTGAACGGATTATTGCCAGGTATGAACTGAACTACACTTTGTAACAGACAAGTGAAATAATATATTTATAAAACATTTTGAAAACTACGTTTGCAGAAACATTTGAAAAAAAAAAAACTCATCACACTCAGAAACAATTTAAAAATTGTGATTGTATAAGTATCGTAGTTACGCAAGAGTGGGCCTTCGCCTAAGAACAGTGACACAATTTAGCATACTATTCCTTTGACTTTTTGTACGTCTGGTTCTCTATCTTCTCAGCTGTACGGTTGATATAACGTCAAGTGTATTACAAGCACTTAACAGACGCAACAAAAGCTTGCTTCACTGCTGTTCGCGGCCACCTCAGACAGGACTGCCTTCAATGGTGCGAAGCTGGAGCCAAGAAACCTCGCTGCACCGACTGCCTCGTAAAGCGCTTGTGTATGGCACGAAATAAGCGAAGATGATACTAGGTGACGACGCTGCTAGACGCGTGCAACCATGCATTATTAATACTGCCCACGTTGGCCTGTTCCATCACTGTTCATGCAGAACTCCCGATAACACATAGACTTGCGATTGCCACCTGCACCACCCCGTGACTCGCGTAAAGCGCTCGCAACGCACAGCACAAGTAAGCAATATGTCCACAAAAATGAACCACTGAACGTGCAGATGCCAGGCTGTTGAAAAATAAAAATAAAAGGAAAAACAGGAGGTATGCCTGTCACAGTGCGGAACAGCTGTCGACCGAAACACCGGTCGAATGTGAAGCTAAGCCTAAAAACTCGTGTAGCCCAGAGCTGGCATGCAATTACACCTCTTAAAGCACTCGTCAGTTCTGATGACAAAACAGAGCAGTGGCAAATCACGGTTTATGAAAACTGTGCCACATAATCGCTGACGCATCATGAGTCACGAATAAAGTGCCAAGGTGCTGGTTACTATTGTTTAAACTGATTTACATGCGCATTCTGTCACCGCGAGTTCGCAAACCGTGCAAGTTCGTCTTCAGTGCTGCTACCATGTGCGTCTCTCGCTACCTGTAGATACCGACATGCGGATAAGGCAAGTGATAGCTTTTTTAAGTGGAAAATGCCATGAAAACTGGCCTGTCAAAATGGGTTCACGGAACCCACTTTAAGAACCCACAAGCCAGAGCACAGCTGCAGGAGACACTTCGCATGCAGGAAGATTATTCCAAGTTTACGCAACAAGGTACTCGCTCACGGCAAACAGGCATGTGTAGGTGCCGTGTAGGTGCCTGTAAAACCACAGCGACCGAAGAAATGTGCTATGCATAACAAAGAAACTGAGAGTCAACTCTGCAACACATGCCACTCAATTAGGGTGGCTAACTTCGTGGTTTTCTCTAAGCAACACTGGCGCCAAAATACACAGCCTAGCTATAAGCAGCAGCGCTCGATGGATGGCAGCACATTTTTGCGAAGTCACGCACATTTACAACAGTCCAGAGGAGATTATGGCATCACTAGTATGGTGCAAGGTAAAAAACACGCTTTTTCTTGGCATTTTCTTCGCATTCATGGCACTGCTTGGAAGGTCATGTAGCCAACTCTGCTTATCCCAGTTCACTATAACTCAGTATTTTTCCCCCACTGAAGTTGAGGTTGGCATCAAGATTTTTGCTTTTGATGCTGTTTTAGAGCAGTTCGGCGCAACTTTTACAATGTTTATGCTTTTAGAGCAGCTTGCCACAAAAACGTAAACGTATCTAAAACGCGCAATATGCGCAGTTGTCTCATGCCTGCAAGTGTAGCATGTGTAGGAACCTGCAAAATGATAATTACATAGCTTCCTCGAGGATTGGCCATTGTATAGTGTTATTTACCTTATATAAACATGAATAAATGTATATCTTGATGGTGTCAATAATGACTATCCTACATCACTCTGCAAGTACTAAACAGTAAAAAACTAAAAACTCACAATGTGCAATGAAGTCTTAGAACAAAGGTTGAGGTTACTTCACTATGAGCGCTGTGAAGTTCACCAAACATATTTAAAGCAATCAGTATAACGTCATTTCACTTACACAAAGACAAATAAATATATAGTAGGTATGCACTTCATCGACGTCACCTGCAAGGAAAGCTAGAGGCAGGTTCAGCATTTTGCATGTGCAAAAAAACATGCAACACATGCTAGTTTTTTTTTTTTTAACTATAGTTTGGAAAGGAAATGTTACACGTCCACTAATGCTCTGTTACTAATTGCACTAAATGCACTAATTGTGTCCACTAATGCTCTGTTACACGTCAGATGGGCACAAGCTTTCCCCGTACCTCATATTTAAATGGAAGACGCTCCCGAAGGGAGTCAATTTCCCGAGTGGTGTGATCGTGCGGGCCAACGAGAAAAATGGGTGAGCGTTGCAATCGATGTCTTTTTTTTTCATCGTAGAAACCGAGTGCGCGTTACAATCGAGGGCGCGGTAGAATCAAGTAAATACGGTAGGTTCGTCATAGGCGGTCGTAGCTGTAAAGAGCGGCAGCTAAAAAGGTCGTCGTGAGAAAACTGACCGCTATGTTTTTTTGTTATTCCTCACTGTCACTTTGACGCTGACGAAACGTCTCGAATGTAAGCAACCTCACTCGCAACATCTGAAGTCAACGTACGGCATTTGCTAATTTGGGTTACCATTACAGTGAGTTAACTAGTGGGTCAAGTGCAAGCGAACATTTTCCTCATGCTTCCATTTGAACTTTTTCCATTTGAACTTTTTCAACTTTTCATGCGCCATATTTTTACTGTGACCCTGTCTGAAGTGTTTACTGTAACAGTAGGTGGCCTTCGAAAATGCTTGCTATGTGTAGATGCAGTTTCAAAGGGTGGCATAGAAAAATCGTAATTGCACGAAAATATGGTCGTTACAACTGATAGATCTTTATATCTGGGACCGTTATAAGTGGATTTGACAATACTTGTTACATTCACGGAGCTTCAGCAAGAGGCAATGTAGGCTCCCACCATAAACTATGTTAGTACATACCATGAGTACGGGGAAATCAAAAATATCCCCATTGTGAGCCAGAAGGCAGACTGGTTGTGCTAAAACCGAGAGGAAAGCACGAATGGCAGGCTGAGCTTGATTAAAAAGTCCCTGGTCCTTCAGGAGGACGGGGTCCAGACCTGCAGTATACAAAGCGCATGCCCTCATCAATGCCCTCATTTCTTGCATGAACACTGTCACAACTGCCAATTTTAGTGTACCCTTTGTCACAAAGAAAAAAAGACAGGCAATGTCAATTTTCTCTTCAGTTGAGATTGCTTGCAAGATGCAAGCCTTGTCAGCAACATGCGTTTCCTTATTGATCCAAATCGCTCGCAAGATAGGTGAAAGCTCATCAGCAGCGGATCCAGAAGGGAGGGGGGTAGGCACAGTCAGCACTCCTCCCCCTTCAGTGCCTATCATGCGCCCTCTTTGTCAGGTTGCCTGTGGATGTTGCCAAGGCTGCCACTGCCCAAAACTGGTGACCAAATATTCGGTTACTACCTAAGAATAAATATAAGCTCCACCTATAGCCATAACTTTGCCAACGCGAGAAAATTGGCATCAAATCACAATTGTTCATTTGTGTGACACCAAGTACCGTTCGCACATTTTACATTGGTGGTTTCCTTATGAAGACACAAGTAGGTGCTACTGGTTATTGGTTAAAAAATGCTGACTTCCTTCACAATTTCCAAAAAAATTTCAACATCACTCTCTGCCAAACACATTTCTTCAAATAAGGACGTCAAACTTTTAATTATTATTGGGAGTATTATTTGTGTTAGCAGCCAAAAAGTATTTATGGTTGTAACGGAAACCCCGTAGCAAGACTCTCGCACAGATGAATGGCTAGTGACCCGCAGTTTTTGGGGCAGTGCTTGTTCGTTTATATGTGTTTTGATTTTTATTCTTAAGTTGTCACTGACTATAGTGGTCAGAACATCTGTTCCCAATGCAGAGGGTACCTCAGATTTTCTAATGGGTGGAAAAATTGCACAGTTCTGGTGCTCTGTGTTTTAGGAATTCTATTTCTGAGGTGGTGCCTCTTCTTTTCCTCAAACTCCTTTCACCAGCTTGCTACCAATTTTCTTTTTCCTAATTCCCTGACTTTTCCAGGTTTTCCATGATGATTTAGAGTGAATTCTATGACCATCACATTTGCATAGAAAACTCTGCACTGGAAAGAGACCCTAGAGTGGCGAAAAAAAAATCGGGCACTTCTATAAAATAAGGAAATATATGTCCCACACATGCTCAGAATCACAGGATGTCCACTAAGTGAATGATGAGAGGGTGAAGCAGTGGGATCGTTCAGTGTTACCGTAAATCACCTGTGACATTGACCTATCACGCATCTAAATGATTGCCAAATGATATACAGTTACATACAATGTTCATTGGTCATAATTAGTATGTTGTATTGAGTTGTGAATTTCATTTTGCTTTCATTATCACTGCTATGTTATTGGGTCTAGCCTCAAGTTGGCAAAGACGAGATCTGGGCACATTCCCCTGGTAGTTGTTGTTCTTTCCAGGCATACAAAATGCATTTTAGAGCATATCGAACCGTCATCTACATCACAAGCCAGTCGTTGTCCATGATCACCAATGTCATCATCTTCATCGCCATGGCGTATAGTGGGCACCTTGCATGTGCTACGCCGATGACAAAAAAAGAATGTGTGGTCTGGAATGTGCTCGTTCTTCATCATCATGAGTATAGTCATCATCATGAGTTATAAGTAGGTACCTTGCATGCGTTGTGCCATGATGGCTTTGATTCATATATGGGGTTTAACGTCCCAAAACCACCATATGATTATGAGAGACGCCGTAGTGGAGGGCTCCGGAAATTTAGACCACCTGGGGTTCTTTAACGTGCACCCAAACCTGAGCACACGAGCCTACAACATTTCCGCCTACATCGGAAATGCAGCCGCCGCAGCCGGGATTTGAACCCGCGATGTGCGGGTCAGCAGCCGAGTACCTTAGCCACTAGACCACCGCGTCGGGGCGAAAGTGCCATGATGGCAGACAGAATGTGTGGTCTGGAAGGCGTTTTTGTTAGTCAGCAGCGTAATCATCATGATCATGGCGTATAAGTAGCTACCATGCCTACGCTGTGATGCTAAAAAATAATCACAGACTTAATAACACCATCTCAAGAACTTGAAATGAAAAATTTAGTTGAAGTTACCTAATGCTACTCTTGAAATGCAAGCTACCAGCAATAAGTAGGTAGCTGAGGACGTTCGCCATTGCATTGGCAATAAGAAGAAGAAGAAAAAGAGAAGGCATGACTCATGTTGAATTCCAATGGCGGAGTCGGAGCAAGTTTTTCTGCTCCTTTCAGAGCAAGTGTGTTCCAATGACAGAGTGAGAGCGAGAGTCAAAAGTTCCAATGAGAGAGTTGGAGGGGATTCAGAGCGGGAGTCCCTCCGTGGAGCAGAAAAAACTGCTCCACCGAAATCGGTGGAGTGGACCGGAACTCAGCGTGACGCATTTCCTTTAACACGTTTGCCTGCTTCGGGGCGCGGCTGGCGCCCCGAAGCTGCTGGTGAAGATGAGGTAGCATCAGATCTGCTGAAGGATGGAGGACAGATTGTGTCAGAAAAACTAGCCACATTGCTTATGAGGTGTCTCCCCACTAATAGAGTACCAGAGTCTTGGAAGAACGCTAACATCATCTTAATACATAAAAAAGGAGATGACAAGGACTTGAAGAATTACAGGCCGATCAGCTTGCTCTCTGTAGTATACAAGCTATTTACAAAGGTAATTGCTAACAAAGTAAAGAAAACATTAGAATTCAATCAACCAAAGGAACAAGCAGGATTTCGAACAGGCTACTCAACAATTGACCACATTCATACTATCAATCAGGCAATAGAGAAATGCTCAGAATATAGCCAACCACTATACATGTCCTTCATATATTATGAGAAGGCGTTTGATTCAGTAGAAATATCAGCAGTCATGCAGACACTGCGGAATCAGGCCGCCGATGAAGCATATACAAACATCCTGGAAGAAATCTACAGGGGATCAACTGCTATCATAGTGCTTCATAAAGAAAGCAATAGAGTACCAATCAAGAAGGGTGTAAGGCAGGGGGATACAATCCCCCCAATGCTATCTACCACGTGCTTACAGGAGGTTTTCAGAGGCCTAGAATGGGAACAGTTAGGGATAAGAGTTAATGGAGAATACCTTAGTAACCTGCGCTTCGCCGATGACATTGCAGTGCTGAGTAACTCAGGGGACGAATTGCAACTCATGATTACGGAGTTAGACAAGGAGAGCAGAAAGGTGGGTCTTAAAATTAATCTGCAGAAAACGAAAGTAATGTACAGCAACCTCAGAAGAGAGCAGCACTTCGAGATAAGTAATAGTGCACTTAAAGTTGCAGAAAGCTATGTCTACTTAGGGCCGGTCATAACCGCGGAACCGAACCATGACATTGAAGTAACTGAACAATAAGAATGGGGTGGAGCACATTTGGCAGGCACTCTCAAATTATGACAGGTAGATTGCCACTATCCCTCAAGAAGAAGGTATATAACAGGTTTATCTTGCCGGTACTTAGCTACGGAGCAGAAACCTCGAGACTTACAAAGAGGGTTCGGCTTAAATTGAGGACGACGCAGCGAGCAATGGAAAGAAAAATGGTAGGTGTAACCTTAAGAGACAAGAAAAGAGCAAAGTGGATTAGGGAACAAACGGGGGAAAGATATCATTGTTGAAATGGACATAGGCCGGGCATGTAGCGCGTAGACAGGATAACCGCTGGTCATTAAGGGTAACTAACTGGATTCCTAGAGAAGGCAAGCAGGTTAGGGGGAGACAGAAGGTTAGGTGAGCAGATGAGATTAAGAAGTTTGCGGCTATAAATTGGCAGCAGAAAGCACAGAACCGAGCTGGCTGGCGGAACATGGCAGAGGCCTTTGTCCTGCAGTAGACGTAGTCAGGCTGATGATGATGATGTAGAAGCAAAAGAACATCAAAATAGTGCATGTACCAACATGGAAGCTAAAGAATGCTTTAGTGAACATGAAGAACAAGTTGCCGAGCGAAAACTTCTCCAGTCTTCTTACTGCCATAGCCTGCGGCGATTGTGACAACCAGTACATCAGCGAGAGCAGCTATTTAAAAAAAAGAAGTTAAACAACATGAATATGACGTCAGTAATCTACGCGTGGCCTCACATGCCTTCGCAAAATAGGTGGGATCTACAAGCCACAAAATTTACTGGTCAAGCACGCCTCTTCTGGCCAAAGAAATGCTTGCATCATGCCTGCACCTGGAATGCCTGCACATACAACTGCACATTCACTGAACAAGAGTAGTGGGACACTTTCTACAATGTACTCTCGGTGCTTACACCACCCACTAAGGCATACTTAAATGCGCGGTACCTTTCTTGTGGCTATTATTTTTAACAAGGCTCCCATAGCGGGTGCGAAAACGTCAGCAAACTTTGTAGTCTTTTGGTAGGTGTATCCTTCCTCATTTACACTAAGAACGAATAATTACGCACTGCCATTTTTTTTCTTGCATCTGCTAGCTGTTAACCGTAGCTGCAGACGAAGGGGCAACTTTCTAAGGCTTTATCAATTGTAATGCTTGTAAAAAACTGAGACCAACGCCATGGCTGCCCAGTCTTCTTCCCTTTAATGGAACAATCCAAGTCCCTCATGACTATACCCAAGCCCTAAATGCGGCCGTCGTTTTCTTCTATATTCAACACATTCCTGCTCGTGCCAAATAGTAAACATGTTTAGTCGAAGCACGAGCATAGTCAGCACTTGGAATTTTCAAGTGCCTTACATTGAATTAACTAGTGAGTGGTTCAGGTGGTCACTAACGCCGCTACAGTTATCAAGTCATTCGCTGTGATATGTTTTCTAGCGATGTCCCGCTTTTACCTCTCTTCTCACTCTTAAAGTCTCATTGGCAGACACTACAAATGAACACTGCAACCTGGCCTCGCAAATCTTGTATACAGTAAACCTCGTTATAATGCACTAACAAACATTTCAGATTAACAAACTTTTAAAGAAATCCCATGCCAACTGCCCACAGTTTCAATGTAAAAATATTTCACTACTACGAACTTCAGAATAACGAACATTCCAGA